TTTTGTGGTGATAATGTTGAAGATAGATATGTTTAAAGTAAATACCACTATTTTTCCTTAAGAATCAGGGAATGCAAAGTTGTCCTCATAGAAGGTAAAACCAGGGGCTGCTTATATCCTGCTCCATACTTGGATGAATATGGAGAAACGGATCCAGGTCTGAAGTAAGTAAATGTTCGACTTGTTTGCTTTCTACATTTCTGTTTTGGTGCTTTTGTTTCTTAAGCACATTAGACATGACCTTCCTGCTAGTGCATACAGCACTGTAATATGCATCTTTGCTTGGTGAACTTGTTTAACTGATGGTAGTTTCCAGTCGTGAATGAGTCATTAGCAGTGGGAAAATCCACTTTTTTGGTTCCGTTAAACTTTCTTATTTTTCTGAGGAAAAGCATACAGCAACTGCCATTACTGAAGAGTCACCTTGGAAGCAACATTCACTTGGTCGTTATGCTTGGAATTCTTTCATTTCCTGTATACTTGTTGGAGTTGCTGTTCATACAACTGTTCATTATTTATTGGCTATTGCTAAGACTTTCAATGCTAGACTATTAATGAAATAACTTCAGTTGATATTCTGATATGCTTATTTGAGTATTCTCCTTTCTCCTTCTATGAAGAAGAGGCAATCCTCTGCACTTATGTCGGGAGCGTTACCGGAAGCTGCATCTGCTATGGCAGCAACACTGCATCATAGAGGAGATTGCCAGGAGTCAAGAAACCAATCAGATCATCTTTGGGTTCAATTGGCAACTGCTCTGAGTCTCTTTATTTTAGTGAAATCTTTTACATTTGGCAGTGCTTTGGAAACAGAAAGGGGAGTGGCAGTAAATGCTCTAAAGTGGGTTCTGTAGTTCAGATGCAATTGATGGATTCTCTAGGTTGGATGTAGTGCTGATACATTGAAACAGAATTTCATGTCAATTGTCTTGCTTTGTTTTATTTCTCAAAAGGAAAACTACCTTGTATAATTGTTACTGAACATTCAGATCCAGAAATATTTCCACTTTTTTTTTTTTTTTTTTTAAAGTTGCTATCGTCTCACATGTTTGACGAGGACAGCTTTCCAAATCCTGTGCTTCAGGGCACATATATTTGTCTCTTCCTTGCCTTGAGAGTATACTTAACTGGTGTTGCTGAGTAAAAAATAACTTTATTTTCTTTCTTTTCCCAGGTTTAGTGTGACTTTTAAATATGTTAAGATCTGTGGGTTGGTAGTAGTACCAAGCCTGTAGTAATCTGTAGTAACAGGAACAGCAAACATTAAGTTGTATGAAAAAAGCCTGCATTCTGCTATATCCTGGAATTTAATGAAGAGTTTTTATCAATAAACTCTTTAAAGGAGAAATATGCATAGAAAGTGGAATTACCATCTTGTTTGTTCCATTAAAAGAATAGTCTGTGCTTTTCGCACTGCCAGAACCGCACTTTATCTAATGAATTTGTCCTCTATTAATGCTGTATATCCTGAGAGGTCTAGGGCTGCAGCATTTGGTTAGGTTTTGGTTAGTTTTACTTCTTTCAGTTTTTTACATGAATTTTTTCTTGAAAGCCAAACAGGAAAATAACTGCTGTAGTGTATCTCTGCAAGTTACATAGGAGCCTGAGACTTCAATAAAGTAGACTACCTTCAACGCTGTCACTGGACTGAAATCAAGGCCCTAAATCAGTCAGCCTTGGAATTAGAAATAAATTTATTTGCCTGTGTTTGGGAAACTTTCCACTCTTCATCCTCTGTCACAATTGTTTGGAGCCCTGCCTGCATAAATAAAAACGTGTTTTGGGGGTCACATTCAGTACTAGGAGCAGAAAAGTGAAAGAAGATAAGTATGTCTCTTTGCCCTTAAGTAGTTAATGACACATTGTGATTGAGCTCTCTCTTAATGCTGTAGGATTGTGCTTCAGTTCTAAATGTCTTTTGTTTTCTGAATTACAGCTGTAACATACATGAGAGAATTAGTTATGTAATGGGTAAAAATGCTTTCCAAGGAAATCACATTGGCGTCAAAGCTGGAAGTATTCAGTATTCTTAATTTCTCCTCCCTTTGCTATTTGGATTTTTTTAATGTCATTTTAATAAGGCTCACAAGGGGAAGTTTTCAAAATAATATCTGAGAATTTGTTTTTCTGTTGTTTCCTTTGTTTAATTTTTTTACTGACAGATAGATTCTCAGATAATGATTTAGATATAATTAGAGCTGTTCTCCTAGTTTCTTAAAGCTTTTAGAGTACATGAGTACGCTGAACAGCGCCATAATTCATCTACAAATGGAGTACAGGTAGACTTGAATATTATGATTTGCAATTCTTTTTTTTCTCTTCAAGAACTTTTGCAGTAATCCTTCCCTGGTGATATAAACAGCTGACTTTGGAGTGTTTTCTGGGCCTTTTTTTCTTGCAGTTATGACTATTGTCCTTATCTTGATTCTTGCAGATTTTAAACCTGAATATACAACACTTCAAAGACAAGCATAATTCTATTAGTCTTATCTAAAATGTATTTGAAATATGTAAAGAATTTAGAAGAGGAGTTGTGATGAGAGCTTGCAATCGCTGAAGTTATCTAAGGACATTAAAACACTTTTTACCAAGAAAAACGTGAGTTCAGACTAGGAAATTGTGGCTTATTGATACCAAAACTATATTCTTCTTTTTTTTTTTTTTTTTTTTTTCCTCAGAGTTCTAGCTTTTCATTTATCAGAAACTTTCAGTAACCTTGCACTTCAGTAATAAATTCTGTTATCGACGGTGAGGTGAAATCAGCGTTATGTTCTCTGTCTGAACTGTAATATATTTGTAAAGATGGCAGCTGGTTTGAACAGGTGAGCTCTTGTTTGAAGCTCTAGGAATACGTGTGTAGTTGGAAAAATGAGAGAGAAAAAAAAGGGGCAAAGTTGTGTCTCCACGTATGTTTGCACATACTCATTAGCAAATGGGCTCCCATATCATTCACTGACTGGTGTGGTCATCTTTCATTTCGTAAATTACTATGCAGATTTGTTCACTGTGAGTATGATCTGTATTTAGTGATCACAAGATGCTTATGCCACCAATTTTCATTCCATCCAGGCTGACAGAAGAAATTTGATAATGCACATATTGGTTTCTTTAATTGCAAAAATGTAAATTTGAAACTTGTATAATGTTCTTGTGCTTTTGAAATAAAATATCTTGTATATGTATATTTAAAAAAAGAAATAAAGTAACTTCTCATAGATAATTCCACTTTTATTTGGAGGCACTTTCACACTTCCGATTTTTGCAAGAGTGTTACAGAAGGTCTGCAAGTATGGAAAAATGGAAGAATTATTAAACAGTGGTAAACTGTGATCCACATCATCATTGTACCAGTGAGTACTGGTGGCAGTTTTTCTTATTTAAATAAATATTCCACTTGAAACTTATGCTAATATTTCAAAGATGCAGGCTCCTGCAGTGTTTATCTCAATTTTTAAAAGAAGTCGTAAGCATATAAGGTAATACTTAAAGGTCTCTAACTGATTGATTGGTACAATGTAGAAAATAATATGGAGAATGATTATGGCCGTGATATGTTTTCTTGAAAGATGAAAATTGTTTCATTTCTGTGGCACAATCTTGTATTTTTTTTATCTATGTTTTGCAGATGGAGGCTGAATTTATTTGCTGATACAGAAAACAAATGAAAAACAAATACTGACTTCTGTACAAGTCTCTAAAATCCAATTAGTCCTAGCTCCATTTCTGGAAGCTTATGTTGTGTGGTTGAATGTGTAGATTAAAGAGGAGCTGTTCAAAAAATTGTGCCTGAGAGAGAGACCTGAAATTATATGTATTGCTTCTTGCAGTGATGATTAAGGTGTGAGACCAGGTATTAAGTTAAACATGAAATACTGAAAGTTGAGCCTGAGCTTCTTTTTGTATTGCTTGTTTATGAGGTCACTGTCAAGAAACAGGACTGTAGTTTAAGCAATTTAATTATAGGCTGTCACAATTAAGAATCAGACTGACCTAGGAAATTTCTAGGCTTCATGCTTGAAGGAGTGGGCCCGCACACCATGTGAAGCAGGGACTGGCACTTGGGTTTGGCCATTTTAAGCTCTTCATTTATCTCTGGGGAACTGTGGCAGGGATTTTTCTGCAAACCGCAGAATGTCTCCTCACAGTACCTGGACTGTAATACTAGCTTTAGGTAAAGGTAGTTAAGTGCAGTCTAGGACTTGGAGAGAGGCCATTCCGATGCACCTTCAAGTTTCTGCTTGAAGGTTTTGCAAAACGTAACCGTGGCAGCTTGAGAAATAATCTACCTAAGATGGTAAAAATGCTTCAGGTTTCTTTTGTCTGCTTTTTTATTCTATGAATTATGCTGTAATTAAAAATGGCAAAACCGATGTGTTTTAGGATTGTGATACTGAAAAATGATCTAAGAATATTTATTTTCCCAGTTCAGACATGCACAGAATTGAGCAATTTGGTTTTCTCAGGTGGATAATGCACAACAGTATGACTTCAGGCAGCCCCCTCTGTTACACGCCTTGGCATAAAGCAGCAGACTGGAGCAGGAGCATCCACTTATGTGATACAGTCCTCGTAAGAGCCACCTAGGTGATGTGGGCTTTCATACCTTTTTGATTTTTCTAAACTGTGGAGTAAGAGTATCATGTGTGGAGACTAAACTGTTACCATGGTGGGAAACTGATAAAATGTGTTCCAAATGATTTGTCAGGTTTCAATGTTATTTGTTGTATTGGAGAGAACTGTATGATCACACACCAGTTAAACCAGTTTGGGGAGGTTTCCAGCTTCTAAGGGAGAACAAATGTGATGCTTAATATGCGGTATTCATATATGATTCATTATGTTCTTCCTTATGATCAGTGTACAGCAATAGAGTGCTTTAAAGGAAGAGCATCATAACTGCAGTTCCTGCAGGAGCCATCGCAGTGCCTTCAGCAGGAACCGAACATTAAAATGTTCCAGTTTTATGAAGAGCTCCATAAAAAGATTTTGTAGTCTTATATAGAGATAAATTCCTTGCTCTGGAAGTTGCTGGAGTTTCTTACACAAATGTATTGTTATTAATTCTGACAGGATTAGGCATTAATAACAAATAGGATAAGAAGTGTCCCACAAATCGTATTTATTTCTGTATCTGAGCAGATGCTACGGATTATAGGCTTGGCTTGCTAATGCCATCTTTGTCTTTATATGTTACAGAGAATTAAAGAAAGTCTGCACTGTTACCTGAGGGTTTTTTTTTTTTATACAGTGGCAGTAATTAATTTAGTTAATTACACAAGTTAATTTCACAAGTTTTCACACAGCTGTTTCTGCAACTTTTCAGCAGTTGACTGAAAGAAAGATTGACAAACCAAATATTACTTTCTTATGGTAAAAATGTGTCCTCTTCACGTGAAAATAATCTGTGTGAACTATAGGAAAAGTGTAGCCGGCTATTGATACCACTGCTCTTCGTGCTGATGTGGCACAGCACTACGTACTGCTTTAGCTTTGTGTCATTTTACAGAGGCACTCGGTCTGGGTGGTCGTTTCAGCTCGCTCTTCTGCTGAACCTATTTTTTTTAGAGCAAGTTCAGGACCAACAGGGACCTCTGCTAGAGAACTGGACAAAGCTGTTGTAATTCAGTAAGCTAAATAAATGGTCAGGAGAGATTGTATGTGGCACGTGATGCCAGGTTTCATCTGCTTCTGAAGTTAAATGTGTTTTGCCATCAGGAAATTTTTTGTATAATACTGAGCAAAAATCCCCTTTAAAAATAGGAGTTTGTGCTCTTATTCCATGTCTTACAACCATTTTCATCAAGCTGAACCATTCCTTGCTTTTGTTTTTAAAGTATTTTATTTTTTAAATTATTTCTATCAAGTTCTCTTGATTCATTTTTCCTAACGAAGCCAAAGTTCTGTTTGTCACTCTGTTTTTCTTCCCTAATTGTGATCATTTAATTAAGCAACCTAGAACTGTTTTTTCCAAATATAGATGGATTACAATTTTACTGGAAAAATGACTGTTTATTTACTGAAGCATGTGATGCTCTGCATGCTGGTCTGAAAAAAAAATACAGGTAAAAATTGCATTTTTATCATATTATGTTGAAAAGTGTTTAATTTGCAGCATATGACTGCCTTTCTCCTTAATATGTTAAAATGTCAATTTTCAATGTTCATTCTTTTTCAGTATTATATCATCTAATCTTAATGCTTCTGGTAGGCTCAGGAAACTGTTGTGCTGAGTGTTCTGCAAACGAGCTGCTTCCTTTGGGATTGTTTTTCCCAGGTTCACTGAAGTTTGTTTTGTCTCATAGTCTAAAAGGTGGGTGTACTTTTCTTAGTTCAGTGAGACATAAAAGCTGGGCGTTTTTCAGTCCAGTAATAAAGCTCTATGGAATTTTGTCATTACCACACGGAAAGATAGAAAAGAAAGGGAGTCGGGATTGTGCCCAAGGGCATTAGGTAGAATTAGAAACAGCATAACAGCTGTAGTACAGAAATGATATTTTTGGCTCTCAGAAATGTTTGAAGGAATGACGCATCGGTTTTTGCCTTGATATTTTTGTGGATGGCTTTGTGAAAATGTTACCCAAATGCTCAGACTTTCAAAAAAGCAAGCAATGACAGGAAGTCTTAGGAAAAAGACAGAAAGCCAGTTTAATTCATAACATCCTCGGTGTTACCTTGTTTTTCATTTGAAAATCATGAATAGTGAGGAGTTACAAAAACTGCCAAAGAAGAGCAATAATTTCCATAGGCAGAAAGATTAAATAGCAGCTTCTTCAACTTGGGAAGGTTGGACAGAGATTTTTTAACAGAGGACAGTAAAATCAGGGACAGCATGAAGAGAATAAATAAGGGATGACTATCAGCTGCATCCTACAGCAAAGATTAAGGGATATGCATTGAGGTTAGGGAGTCAAAAAGCAAAGCACTTTTTCAAGAAATGCAGAGCTGAGTTGTGAGAAATCAAAATCTGTGTTTTGGATATGAAAACCATGAATGGGTTAAAAAAAAAAAACAAAAAACACTATACAAATTCATAGAAAAAAAAATCCATGGAGAGTTATTAAAACATTTGTTTCATATACAATCATACCAAGTTAACAATATGCCGTTTCCTGGAAGTTAGGAAGCTTTGTCAGGAAAAAAGTATTTCCTAGTGGTCCTGCTTCTTGTGTGCTTCTTGTAAACCTCAGCTACGGTTACTGCTACAGACAGACCTGTAGTATAGACCTCTCTATTTTTATTTTTAACATACTTAAGTGATGCAACTGCATTTGCAATTACAATCATGCATATAGCTTGCTTGACTTACAATATAGATTATTCCATCACACAAAGTATAATTCTTGCTTACTGTAGTGTCATAGAAAACAACGTTGGACAGGTAAAGTAGTTTTTACTCTTAATTTTGTACAATTTGAAGAGCAGAATAGTTCTGCTTTGAATATCATACCAATGGGATTATTCCTTTTTGTTGATTATATACAAAGAGTGCACAAACTGACCAAAGTTATATTCAAATAGTGTGTTATTCACAAGATATCAAGTAATATATTTTGTTTTTTTTATCCTCTGTTCTGTATCTATATGTTTTACTACTTAAATCCGTATTATTACTGATGAATTAAGCATAGGCATCCTGTTACTGCAAGTACAGAAAGGCTTTTGTGCTGTACGTTGACATACAAACTTCATAAGCACTGTACTAGGAATGTGATGGGAGAGATGACAATCTATCTTGGTCTTTGTTGGTTGCAAATGATCTCTTGTTTTCCAGCCTGTGGATCTGTATAGCTACTCCTGAAATTATGAGCATTTTTAACATCTGGGGCCATCAATATTTGTTTTATGGGAAGTATTTGCTTATTTTTACTCTTGTGCTAGCACGTGCTACTTGGAGTTTTAATATCCTGTATGAGCTATCAATTAGTGGTTTTGAGCAGAGAACTCCTTTTAATAGTGCTCTAACTTTCAGGCCAGCTGGCTTTCTCTAAGTTTGTCTTCAGATTGTTAAAAAACAAAACAAGTCACATACACTAGACAAACCAACTTTTGTTGCCTTTAACTTGATTTCAATTTTACTTAGCTAATAAGTTATTTTGGAGGAGTGATAATATACTTCAATTTGGCTTAAAATTTACCTGTTGTAACTTAGACTTTAGTGCAATCTTCATTTCTGTGTTTGTGATCATTCTTTCTTTTAATAACCTTTTTATCCAGAGAAGTTATTTCTGTTGAAATTTCTCTGCAGCTGGGATTTCTGAAGATGTGACAGTAATCACAAACTAGACCAATCCTCTCTAGAGCATACTGATCCAAGCTGTTAGCCCTGTTATGTATAATCATTATTCTGATCTATTCAGACCAGGACAGGAATGTGTAAGCAGGGGAGACAAAGAGGGAAAAATTCAAAAGACTGTTTTGTACACATACAAAAACCAAGAATTTCATTAGAATTGGTAAAGAAAATACATCCTGCCAAAGAAGCATCAACATCCTGTTGCTGTAACCAGTCTATTTTTTGTTCAGTTATCATACTGCTTTTTTTCCCATTAGTGAAAGTCCAGTGTCTAAGATTGTAGTATGTCAAAACTGCACTTGAGCCATCATTTTGCTGAAGACTTGTCTAGCTGGCTGCAGGGATAGATTTTGCTGTAACATTGCTTTTGTCACAGTTTGTGTTTTGAACATTAATGTTGGGGTCATTCATGCCTGAGACAGTGGAGATCTGGTTGGCTTTGCCAAGGTTCTTGATAATATTGATGTTGTGTTTGGCAGTTTCCATAAAGCTGTTTTCTAGTAACCAACCATCCGATTCACCCTGCAGATCTCCTCGCAGCAGAGTGTTCTTCATTGCTGTTTGTAGGTACCGAACACCAATAAGTACAGAGAGCTGTAAGGAAAGGTTAGTGCTTAAACAGAGCTTAAGTTACAGTCTGGATCCTACCACTAAGCTTTTGAACTTGATTATGTACAGACCTAATTCTCAGTAAAATAAATAGCTTTTTTTCCCAGTTATGTATCTAAACAATCAATTAATTACATGTTTTTGAATAAAAAAAATACCAAGGAGAAACTTTTTTGCTGTTTTTTCTCCCACTCTTCAGATAGCATTCCCACTTAATGTGATTAGAGCACAGATACCTGGAATTACCTGGGAATGTTGTAGCCTCAGACTGTGGCTAATCAGTGCAAAATAGATGATCAATTAATGGGGACATCAGTGGCTGGATGAAAAATCCTAGTCTGTTAATCTTTGTGGAAGTCTTTCCTCACTGACATTCATTAAATTGGTGTTTCATCAAAGGTGTTTCGTTCGTTAAGTAGGCAATATGCATCCTACATGCTAGTGCACTGAAAATGAGGAAGGATGGTCTACAGAGGCTCAAGTGTGAGTTTAGGTATAAAACACAGTTTTCATTGGTCTCGTTGGCATCAGGATCAGTGTGCCTAGCTTGTTTGTCACACTGAAGTGAGCAACTTTTCCATGAGTTGCCAAAGGTCTGCTGTTTCTGCCATCACCACCCAATCTAGCACTGTCTGAGGACTGTTACATTGAATTATTTTAATAGTGTTCATATTTATGCGATAGAGTAATAATCAGAAAAATCTACTATTAAAGAGTGAAGAAGCCCATGCCATTGTGATCCTTGGCGTGGAGATGACAACTTTCTTTACAGGCACTAATAGAAAGACTGCATTTTTGCAAATGTATATACTTGCCACTGAAGTGCTTATTTTGACTGCATAATAAGTAGTCTAGTCTATACCTAAAATGTATTCCATGTTTATGTGGTAAAGCTATGCTATCTATAAGGGAATTTTTGAGCTATTATATTTATGCTCAATTTTGGCTGTGGAAGGCATTCATACATTCAGCATAAGTCTGTCTCACATTTTTAATACTCTTTCTTAAGAAAAATCGCCTTTTAACAGTCTCGTGCCTTCCACCTATTAATTGTGTTAGTGCATGTGTTATCCTGCATGCTGCCCTGTAAATGTTCTAGGAAAGTGAATATGCCATAATCTGTTGAAAAAGCTCTAAATATCCAGAATTATGTGCATCACTTCTAGTAGTTCTCATCTTCAATGAGATTTGCTTCTCTACTGGATGCTTTGTGCAAACTGTGCGTTAGAGGAAAGTCCTGCAGCATTGCTGAAGTCCTTATGGACTTGTTTTAGATGTTGAGGTGCTTCTTACACTCCTCGTATGTTACAGCATATTTATTCCCCATCCTGGAGAGCAGGAAATCCCTGATATACCAAACACAGAGCATTTTCATGAGGCTTACCTCAAACAACCAGATAAGCAATGCCGCAATACCAATAGATCTCATTATAGCTGTGTAGTAGTCCAGCAAGGCCTCTCTGCACCCCTTCATCCAGATATTGAGCTCCTCTGTCAGGAAATCATAATTGTAGTGGGCACTGTTGTTTGTCAGCTGGTACTGGATGCAGGGCCGTGGGGAACTTGGATTGCAGCAGCTGAAGGGTACTCCATCCACTAAGAACTTCCCATCAACATTACTCTTGAAACGGCTGCAAAAGGACAGAAAGTTTGCATTACAACTGTGGTATCTGCAGCAGGATGCATCCGTAGTTTCCCACTGAGGAGCAAGTTAGGCATAATGACTCTTCTTTTTAACATCTAGCTCTTCACTTTGTGGCCAACTTGCTCCAAGTAACAGAAGCAGGGAAACTAATGTGAAAGAACACAATCAACTGAAAATAGAATTAAGTGTACAAACAGTGTAAGTGATATAGGCAAAATGATGTAGAAAAATGAGGGGAGCCACAGAGGTACAGAAAAGAGGGCCAAAATGTGGGGAAAAAGAAACTGTACAGAAAATGAAGAGGAAGACGGGTTGGTTGTGAAATGGGGGCTTTTACCTGAACAAGTCTAATGCTGTATGTTTCAGTCATGTAAACTAAAACAATAGGACAGCATCTGAAATGGTTGAAATACAATCACTTAAGCTAGCTCTTAAGCTTCACTTCTGATCTGAAGCTTTTTTTTTTTTTTTTTTTTTTTTTCCTCTTTTCCTGCCATGTATGTGAGAAGGTGATAGACTTCTTTCTGCTGTAAATGGTAACAGTTCCAGAGTTTGGTTGTGTTCCCCTTGCCATTGTATTTCCTTGTAACAAACTGAAGGAAGTTGTATCTGGATATTGCTGGAAGGGGAGAGCTCAGTAACAAAAACTGAGAAAGTAAGATGTTAACTACTGTTGTATTTCAAAATTGTAATGAAACTATGAAGCAAAAGTTGCTTATGAGACTATAAAAAGATTATTTTTGCCTAACCAAAGCAATGATAGGATTGTAGTGCTGTGAACTGCTTCATCCTTGTACTGCTCCCATAGATGGACTCTGTTTTTTGTGATGTTGTGGCATTGGTAATGAAGTGATGGAGGGAAGAGAAGAGGATTACGAAGGAAGGTGAAAAGTTCAGTTCCGTAGAGATTCTTATTAAGTCAAGTATGTCAGTTCTCAACTGCTTTGCCTCTTAATCTACCAAGTACTAACTGTCATAGCACTACAAGATAAAACAAAGAAGTCTGATTCCTTCTCCGCCCTCTCTAAACATTACAAGCTGGACTTTGGTCCTAGTGATTTCTTACCAAATGTTTCCCTACAAGGTTGTGAAAATCATAGTATGATTTGCCTATACTTTGAGTATTGGTACCAACTTTGATTCTAGCGATTGAGATGAGATTATCTAGTTTATATGCAGTAGAAGTTCTGTTCTGTATTTATCTTCTTCATGTATTGTCTTCTTTCTACATGGGGATAAGAAAAATTAACTGTATTTCCAGAATGTTGGCAGAGCACAGGTGACTTTGTAGATGAAAACTGAGTTCAGTTGGACAAAACATTACTCTTAGTACGTGGCTCACAGAAATAAAAAGTAATGTTTTACCTATATCCATACAATAGGGTACTACTGTAAGTTCCTGCAGACTATATTTGTTGTCTTATGACTTTTCAGAGTAGAACAAGGATTTAAAACACCTTGAGTTAGTTTGCTTTGTGTCACTATTGCTCTCTAACATCTTCCTTTAGAACATCTGTTCTAAAGCTTGTTATTTCCTTAGCCAACTGCCTAATGCATGCTGATGTCCTTGTTTCACAGGTCCTGTCCTTTGGTATCTTTGCATCTCTGTTTATATGCTTTGCTGTAGGGCCATCTTCAAGTTACAAGTTCTGTTAAAAGAAGATCACTGGCCTTCTTTCATCTGGCTTTGTTCCCTCTTTTTCAACAAAGCAGAGTATTCCTTAAATGCCATTTAAACTTTTGTATTTATTTTTCCTAAGAATATATAGCTACCTGGCTCTCATCAGTGAAGACTTTTTCAGCTTTTGAAGATATATATTGGATTATCTGCTACTTTTTTTTCTTGTATTTTTGACTGCTACCTTCTAAAATACTGTTGTCTATGGAAATTATCACTCCTTGTTTTGAGAATATCACTTCACAATTCTGTGAGGCACCAACATAAGAACAAATATCAAGGGTTTTTCTACTTTTTTACTGCAAGGTACACGGTGTTGACATGTGAACATGTAAATCTGAACCTGAATTCTAGTCTGGTATGTGAAGGGAAATGTGAAGGGAAAATTTTTCGATGTTTAGGATTGAATGCATGATGTATTGGTAGGAAAATCTTTTTTTTCTTTTAACAACTCTTTATGACTGAAATCTTTAGGTAGATAATTTGCTACATTAAAAAAGGAAAGCGTATCGTTGCATTGCTTAGTATCCTTAAAAAGTTATCAAAAGATGACTTTTCATTATGTATGTGTTTAACATATTTAAGGAGTAACGTTGTCAGTCTACAGTTTGGTGATACTTGGCTCTGTGAAGTGTATGCTAGAAACTCAGAGTGATTAAGTATAAGCAGAAAGATCTTTTTGGCCTGATCACTTCCGTATTTGTGTTTTTAGGAGAAACAAGTAGTTTTGAGTCTTACTGCTATTATTTACTAGGAATTTACATTGAAGTACCAGAGTGTTTGTAAATATGCATATGATTACATTATATATTGAGGTAGACTTGTTAGCAATTATTCAGATGGATCTTTGAGAGAAACCTAGCCACAAGTTGTCATGTAAGGAGGGAATACTGCTTAGCATTTTGGGCAGAAAAGAAATCAGTCTTACTGTGTTCTCTTTAATGTCAATATGTCTCGATCTTTTGACACTACTGTTCCTGATCAATTCTAGTCCTTCTTGAAGGATTTTTTTTCCCTAGATTTTTCCATTAGAACTAGTAAATACTTACTCCATAACTTCCTTAGAAGCCATGTTCAGGTAACGAGCAGATACCCACTGAACTTCAAACCAGTCTCTAAAGCCATTGTTTCCACAGCACTGGAATCCAATTTGTAACATATCCACTGTTTTTTTTAAGAAACATCTTCCAGGTATGTCTGTGTCCTTATAGAACTTAATAGCATCCCTCAGTCCCAGATAGAGAGATTCTTCCAGCTCATTCCTCATGGTATAGCACATGAGTGCACCCAACAGGATGCAGAAAGTAAAACAGAAGGTACATATGATGTATGGGAACATAATTAGCTTCCATCGGGAGAACTTGTTGGCATCTGAGCAGTCGTAGCAGATTTTGCCCCCCAAAAAGTTGATGACACATGCTATGACTCCTACAGAGATCAGCATGTTGGGAACAGAGTTGATGTCCCCTTTTGCCATCACTTCGTTGCGCTTCTTGATCTCTATTTTCAGAAAGAGGCCAAGACTGAAGAGAATGATCCCACTCACTACAGAAACCCAGTTGAGGATCCATAGGATCTGAGCCAGTTTGTCCCTCTTAGTTTTGGTGAATTTTACTTTGAGGACAGCCATAGTCAGTCAGATCAGCATTAGGAAAAGAAGCGTAGGTCACGGAAAGCCCATAAGCTGCTTAGAAGCATGTATCCAAGGCATGCAGTAGAAATCTGAAGAAGAGAGAGAGAGATTAATGTCTGTTTGACTGGCTATTTATAAAGCCTACCAAGATTTTCCTGTACTGCCTCACGCACCTGAGACTTGCCAAGGGAGTGCCCCAGGTCTTGCTTAAGTTTCATACAATGCCTCTTACGAAATTAGACTAGATCAACTAAAAACAAGTGACCATTAGACACAACGAATGGTGGATTTCTATGCATTTTCATCTCGAGAGCAGTCTTCTGTGTGGATTTTCTGAAGTGAGCTGATCTGCTCACTGATTTTTCCCTTCAGAAGCCTAATGATGCTTTCTTGTTCTACACATTCCTGTCATTTTCTTGATTCTGGGAAATTATAATTCTTAGATTACTGTGTCATGGCCGTATGTAGGTTTAAAAGCTGGATAAGCAGGCAGATAAATATAGTGTAACCATATAAGCCTTTTTCCATGAAGAATTATTTTCGGGAAAAGAATTGCTGCGGAAGTCTCTTAATGGCTGCACTTTCTGCAGCAGCCTTGACTTCACAGTCCATTGGAATCATTTCCATTCTCTTGTGTAAACATTCCAGAGTCCAGGGTTGCCAAAAGGAGTTTATTATCTTGTTTTTGATGCACCTGTATTATGTCCTGGTAAGTAAGAAAGGTACTGTCCTTTCCTAACTTGCCCAGATAATCCATAGTCACATTTTTCTCTCAAAACACACAGTGATGGGCATAAGATAAGTTCAATTTCTCACAACCACCCATACGCACCTAGTTTCAAATTTAATATTTTCACACCTAAAGAATGGCTTCTGAGTTTCAAGATCTGTCATCTTTTCCCCAGCAACTAGCCAATCTAAGGAACTATCTTTTCCATCACATTTTGCCTTGCTTCTCTGTATCGTTATGGTTTCTATAAGACTACTACTGACTTCTTTGTACCTCTGCAGTTACATCACATTCACAGGCAGGAAGCAGTCCAAGACACAAACCTGCTAGAGCTGGAGACAGTATGTTTTCAGTGTACGTGATGTGAATGCAGAACTATGCTGCAGTACCTCAGGATTAAATGGTGATCTCTTGCTGTCCTTTATAGCTTCTGATGCTTTGTGATTGCCTTTCCTTAACACGTGAAGAACTCCTTTCCTGCTCACAAAACCTGCTCTCAGCATGGTTATGTTCTAATTCAGTAATTTTCATTAGTGATTTTATATTATACAAATATATATTTACATGATTCTATGTCACCCTTGTGGATTCTGCTACTATAAACATTTATAAACATTTATAAATGCATTTATAAACAGTAAAACATAATCCTATAATTTGAGGAAAGAAGGAATTGTAAGCAGCTTTATTCATGCATATTTGCTTTTAAGCTTACTACTTATGTTAAAACAGCATGAAAACCACCTGCAGACAAACGTTCCAGAAGTAGGGGCTATACACTGCCCATCAAAGGGTCCACAGCTGCAATGAAGCTTAATATTAGGCAAGCAGACTGCTGCAGAGTGCAGTTAAAAGAGGCAATGATACCATGGTGATTTCATGTGTGTGTTGGAATGAATCAATTCTGTTTGTACAGGTTCTTCCTTTCGTATTAGGATGTGATTTGAATATTAAAACATTTGAATGGCTATGATATCTAAATTATTCATGTTGCATTTATTTTTGCTGTGTATAGAGAGAAAATTGATTTCCTTTAAAACTGTTCACCTCTGTGTATCTCTTGCACAATATGCAGAATACTGTGCAAATGGAAATGAAGCCAGTAAGGAAAAATACTGAAGAGGTTTAGGCTATTGTCGCTTCTTGGTTTTAAAAACAGGTGCCTTGTTTAATGATTAAGGCTGATTATCAATTATTGTTGAGTATTTATTCTGGTAATATTGTTATCATTATTTTGCTTATCATGGTGAAATACTTTTTTTTTTATAAAGATCTCTGTACAAAGAAGTCTGGAGAATATTCATACAGTAACAGTACCTTTTTCACACTACTCTCCCATGAAATACTTGAAATATACATGAAATACATGAATATACATGAATATACATGAAATACAGCCCTCTTTCAAAAGGATCATACTTTGCTGGAACAGGATTAAGCCACCATAGCAATTCAGCTGACAGCCTGTCTGCTAAGCCTGCAGACAGTAGCCTTAACTGCTTCACCAGTTAAGCAGTTCATGACTTAAACTGAAATAGCTGTAAATGGCTGCTGCAAATAGTCTTTGCTTTGAATACTCAAGTCTCTGAGCATGCAGTAGAGGGAATCTGTTGTTATGAAATTGCTGATACAGGCTTCACATTCTGCACCTGGGGTTTGTGAATACATCGCTCTTCATTTCTGTGAAATGTATCTATTTGCAAAATGCTTCTAAATTGTTAGACAAGCATTCAGTTAGCAGTGTCACACCAAAAGGTAGTGACTTGGTGAAGATCTTTTGCTTTAACATTTGAACAAAGTTTGTAAGTTACTGTTTTCACTTAATCTGCTGTTTTTTATTTTGGAGGATGTAAATTTTAGGCTTCCTATTATAGTATTTTAGCCGTAAAGAAATCTGAAGCTGACTTTCATAAAGAGACACAGTCAGTCTTGTGTAGTTATTGTCCTACAGCTCCCTCCCCGTCCTCAGATGACTAAAGCTAAAAACCTGGAACTTCCATGTGCAAAAACAAGTAATTCTGTGCCTTCAATAAGTTCTCAAATGCTATTTCAAGCTTTCTTGATGAAATTTTAATTACAAGACCAGAATGTATAGAGTATTCACATTCATTTAATAGAGGTACTTGCACCATAGTTCTTCAGCAGTAGAAAATTTGCCTAACACAAGCTATTTCACATAAGCCATACCACAAGAGGGAAACAGAGGTAGGTGCAGTGCAGTGACCGTTTATTGTCTGACCCTGGCTGTCACTGGTAGAGCTGGAATTGCAAAGTATCTTCAGCACTGTGCTTCTCATACAATGAGTGCCTTGAGTCTGGGACAGAGGAACAACTTACCTCATTTATTCCTGACAAATTAGTCTTTGGCAACACCAGGTTTAGAAGTGTACCCAGCTTCTGTTTGTTTTTTTAGCACCAATATTTACTGCATTTATTTCAGGTAATATGAAGACTCTCTTCCCTTTATAACAAATTCTTTAAATATACCATAATGTTTTTATATCCCTGACTATTCAGTGAAGTGTTGGATATATTTATTCAGCACTGCCACATATTAGTTGTTTTGTGTGCTGCAAAGAAACGTTTTTCCAGGTGGAAGAACAGAAGCACAATTTTAAACTAGAAGTGTCACTGTCTTATTCTGCAATGCATATATACTCTTCTCCAAATTTTATCTGTGAGACTACTGCAAAGTCACGTGTGCTCCTAGCAGATCAGAGGAATTAACCTGCCTAAGTTTTTGGAAGCACACCTCAGTATTTCATATGAGCCACTCCAGAATTATAGTGTGTACATACATTTTTTCCCACCTTGCAGTGGGGAAGAAGGCTGGACTTTATTCTGTAAAGGGAGGAACATTTCTTTCAACAGAACACCAATAAATGTGGAGATCTTTCCCACATCACCAATCCTATTCTTGAGCTTTTCTTGTCTAAATTTGAACTAAATTTGAACTTCAGCACAATGTAGCTGTTTACTTTCCAGGTGCCACTTACCTGTTCCTTTGATTTCAAACATACAACAACACACATTGCAGCTTTTTATTTGCTCATAAAATGTACTTATTTGATGTAGTTTATGACAAAATAGCAAGCTAAATTTTTAGAGACAATTTACGTCTTATCTCACTGATTTTGCTAAAATGGCCCTTTTAGCTAGGCACAGATTTAATATTAACTTATTGCAAAAGAAACAACTAACCTGCTTCACAGGACTGGGTGAGGTCACAAAACTGGCACCTTGCTGAGTTCATGGGAGAAAATATCTGGATCTGGCATCCTGAGGAAGGGCAAAGTACTGATTTCCTGATGTCTGTGTAGTTCTGTCTTTATGCTGACACACCAATGGAGATGGTGAAAGACTTCAACTCTCTTGCCCGTGCTAATCTCCCTTGCATCTCTAATCGTATTTCAAGGTTCTTATGCCACTGGGTTCAATCCTGCAAAACAGGCCGATTAACTGAGTGTGAACTGAGACCTCAGTGACCAGTTGAGTTTATGATAATGTTTTTTTTATTCCTCACGAGTTTGGGCTAGTAAGAAGCAGAGATTTCATCACTATTTGTTAATGTCTTCATAACAACAACAAATAACAAATTATCAATAAATATGAGTCTGGGAGAGAGAATAATGAAACTGTGGTTCTGTGAAAGAGCAAATTAAGATTTAATTATGATTAATTAAATTTTAAAGCATTAAGGCATTAATTATGATAGAACTTATCCATGATTCTGTATGTTGTTGCTTTGTATGGAACTGGTCACCTCTCACTGTGTATTGGCTGACTGTGAGATAAATTCAAGTAACCAGAGACAATTAGTTCATTGTATATGACTCACAGTAGATTCTGGCTTTGGAAACTTTACAGATTCAAGAGCAGTCCAACAGAAACCTCTCTCCTAGATTCTTAGAAGCTTTAGCCAAGCCAGAAGCAAATGCATATTATCCTCCTCTGTCATTTCTGAGCTCTGCTCAGAGCTGTCAATCTGCTGGCTGAGTTGAACTGGCTGCAGAAGCAGCAGCAAGCTGAGTTTGCAGTGCTTGATCATGATAGTGGTGATAGTGGATGAGTCACTAAGAAAGCCCTGTTTTGTTCTATAGGGTTTATAATACCTTTAGCACAATGGTTCAGGGAGCACAAGCGACTGCAAGGGCTGTGCACCACAGACTGTCATGAATATGGATAGCCTCAGAAGCATTAACTGTCTTCTCCCAGCTGATGATAAGCAATACAATGTGATTGTAATGTGAATGTAAGTATCCTTGGAAAAAGCATGGGAATTCTGGGAATATACCTTGCTTATGCTGTAGGGTTTTTCTAAGGGTAAACATCCCTTTGCATGCATGAATATTGTGCTTATTATCAGGGAAAAGTGGAAGATGAGTTATCAGTGCAGCTCGGTTCTTCAAAGTCTTGAGTAAAGCAGAGATTACTGTACCTAAGCACACTGCTATAAGAAAAAAACTTTTAGCTTACTTGCTAGAAGTCATAATCTTATATGTGACACTGTTGAAGAGAAAGGCTCATCACTGCCAGTATCACTGTGCCTCCATGAGGTGAAAAAACCAAGGACATGTCTCAGTAGGATAAAGACATACAGTGAGACGGTCTTTTTGATTTCTTTTTCTGATACGATCAAACTCATAACTAATGCTTATGCTGAAAGCTCCATCCATCAAAGCAATATCTAGAACCGCATAGCAGATTCAAACCGCAGCGTCCTTAAGTGTATGGGAGTGCGTGGAGTCGTACTCCATGTGCATTTTGCTGGCATCTTCCTTTCACAAACAAACAGTTTTCCATAGCCTTACGTTTTTAAGGAGAATATCTGAAGAAGGGCTTCTAGTTCTGTCTTGCCTATGTGCTAATGTACTGCATACTCAGGAAACTTCAGATTTGGAGTATCTGTGCTACGTGTGGGACCCTTACTGCATGTGAATCAGGCTAATGCTTGCAGGTGATCAAATACACCTAGCCAAACTAAGTTTATCCTATGCACGTGGATTGTTTATGCTTTAGGTTTTCTATACTTTTGCAGACTGCAAGGAATACATCACATCTGTTCAGTTGTGTACATATGTGGATCGTATTCAGCATATATTCCCTGTGGAATGTGCAACTGTATATGTGTACAAAATGTACAAGCTTACTTGGGATTTTTGAGCTACTGCTCTGACTGGGATGTGGTGTATTAGCAATCCTGGATCAATTTTTTTTTCTGCCCAGATAATGCTTTTAAAAAAGCATTTTAAAAACACTATTTTTAAAAAAGACCTGTGTTATCCCTGAGTATCAGAAATAGCATTATTGCCCGAGACACCTACTAGAAGAAAAACGAATCTGACCTGTTGCTTTGCAATATGAGCCCAGTTCTCACATGCATGAAAAAAAGCAAGCAGAAGGTGGCAGTGCTGCTGTATGTAGGTTTTTTTTCCTACAGTGCAAAGCAAGTAACTTAATTTCAGCTAGAGAGATAAGATTAAAGGTCACTCAGTCAGTAATGGAAGCTCAGGAATGCATCATTTTAAAAAATAACTTAAATCTTCATGGAATTAGAATCAGTGCTACTTGTGCTTTTTGTTCTGTATCACTGGAAAATTGTTTCAGCTGCCAAGTTAATATTCAGAATTGAATTATTCACACATCAGTTGTCTTATACTCATCTATGACTAGTCACGATGGGCTGCTTTATTACAGACCTTCTGGAAAACCTGAACACCAAGACCATAATGATTGAGCAGCATTTTCTAACCCAGCAGGAGCAGTTGTAGCTGTGGGTCTGTCAACTGTCAGCCAGTGATGCAGAAAGAAAACATGCATCCTACTAACAGTGAAGATTTCTGTCCTGCAGCTTCAGATCTGAAAGAGGTATAAATGGATTAAGTGTTTGTCCAATCTGTTTACTACTATTCGTATGTAAGTCTGTAAGGGCAGCTATGTTATGAGTTAGACCAATTAAATACCTACTAGTGGTGTTGCATGCTGCAGAACTATATTTTGTATCTTGGTTTCAAAAATTAATGTTTCTATTTTGTATTTAGGTGCCTTTCAGTTTTTTCTTCTGTTTAATGCAAATGGTATTTCATGAGAAAGAGACTGTGGAATAATGGACTAAAACTAAGTTTGACACAAGTATCACACAACTTTTCCTCAGTATGTCAGCACTTCAGAGGGAGAATTCATATACAGGAAGAGATTCTCACCAACCTGTATAAACGTGGAGGGGGCTTGAAAAAAGAAATTTAGACCATGTGCTTTTTTTTTTTTTTTTTTTTTGACCTGGTAGATGCTGACAGGTGTAAGTTATTGGGCAAATAAAAGCAACTGGGTCAGAATATTAATCTCTCAGTTACATTTCTGAACTTTTAGGAATATAGTGGTATTTAGATGTGCCTATGATTCTTGCAGTTAGACAAAGGGATCTAAATTATATAACAACAGTTGAAAATCTTATGGAATTGCAGGGATGGCTGAGATAATGTCAAAACTCATGGCAAGAGGTAATGAGGATAGATGGCAGTTTGAAATAACCCACTTTGTACACTAGAATGCCACAGAGCTTACTGAGAACATAGTCAAATTTATCATATTTTTAACCTATTTCATTGCCTGAAAAGCTCTTCACAGATGAAATGAATCAGGAAAGAAATACTATAATTTTAACTTTAAGATGTTTAAAGTTCACAGCTATGTGGACGCAGAACCCAACTTCAGGCAAATGGGAAATTATAGCAGTCTTGCATGAACTGCATTGCTCTTTAACTGGTAGTCCTTGGGGCCCCTGCACGTTCCAGGAAATGCCAAATAGGTATCAACGAAGCTGGCTCTGATTTCAGTCCATTTGTAGCCGCGCTGTCCATAAGCTCTGAGTCATCCACTTCAGACTCACAGTGAGTCATTATAAATGGAAAACTAAGGTACAGAAGTGGTGTATTCACCTTAGAAACAGGCTGGCAGTCTACGGTAAAGCCAGAAAGTGAATCTGTATTTTAGGTTGGTTACCTAAAACTCCTTCCGTCTTGGCTATAACTATTTTTTGAAGACCAGAATTTTTACAGCTTTATTCATAATGAGACCATATAGCAATTTTTGTTTTTCATCTTCACTCCCTAGATACTGCAGCAAGCCAGCCCTCAGGAAGCTTTCTGCAAAATGGAATTATACGTGTATTATGAGGGCTTAAAACAAAATTCCCTTTACATAATGAGGTAAAATTTCCTTTTTCAATTCCGTAACTCATAGCGTCAATACTTTTGGTGCACTACAGTGCCAATAAACCTCTTGTTTCCTAGCAAAATATTCAGACATACAATTTTACGTTTCTCTTCTAAAATACAGGGCCTCCTATACTAACCATGAATCCTCCCTGTTCTTGCTTTATAAAACTGATGCTGATGTCATTTCTCACTCTCTAGATAATACTGGAATTAAACAACGTTACTCAGGACATCTTGTTGGATAGTTGGTATTCTTTTAAAAAGATTCAGTGAAGAGATGTTTGTAAAAAAGAGAATAATGATTCTGAAGCTGTTGAGTAGGAAAAAAACAGGAACTGGACACTGCTCTTCTGTGTTCTTCTGAAAAAGATCCAAGATCCCTCTGTCCCTTTAGTGGTGACATAATGTTTTACTGACAGTTTGTGTCTAGAAATCACACTCTATGGAAAAAAAAAAACCAAAAAACAACCCATACAGTAGGAGCTCAGTTTTCCTACCAGCACAACAAAAATGCTAAATTTGTTTGCTTTACATAGTGACTAATCAGTTACAATAAAGTTTTGTGAGGTGTGCCTTTGGAATTGGGAATAATTTGACAGTAATCCTCTTACTTTCTAGCTTTGGAGTTCTGGTCTGCAGCAAGATTGCAAAGAGACAGAAAGATATTTTGGATTGATCTGTGACAAAACACAGTGTGTTTTACTGACTGACTTTGCCCTTCTGACCACCTGAGACATTTAAAAATCTTCAAAACAAATGCAGTGGTGTCCATTCACAGTGTTTTACAACAATTAAATAAGAAAAAATTCCTCAGTAATTTTTCCCTGTTTTGTAATCAACAGATTGTCTGCTGATATAACTGTCTGGACATCTAAACCAGCAGACAGTTCTTTCTAGAAGTTGTTCTTCTCCAACCCAAAATGAAATTCTCTCAAAAGTATCTGAAACTCAAGAGTTTCAGAAACTTTGCAAATCGTGAGCTGCCCCTTCTTCTGTTTTTGACCATTTATCTATAAAAGTGATATTTTTAGCATGATTTATGATACAAACATTAACTTAATTTCAGTTTGTTTCTTGGAAATAATGGAAGTGATATAATAGTTCTAAAGATAAATATGTAGGTATGCTCTTTACAGGCACAGACAAAGATAAAATGTACATATGAAAATTTATTCATAGTAGAAATAGACTCCAAGATCTATAACAGCTTGAAGCCTTTCTTATTTCCTCTTTTCCTTCTATGTAAGTACCAGTATACAAAACATGACTAGATGAATTCACAGCTACATCAGAGCTAAACTTTTCTGTCTGTTAAGCTACTGCACTTGAGTATGTTTTTAAGAGCTTTCTTTTATGTGAGGGTCTGGGACATGCATTATTATTCTGTGCAGGTGCAGAGGTGGCTCTCTGCTCATATATATTGATTCAAAGACTGCACGACAAACTCCCTTACAAAAGTACAGTTACATCAGAACATATGAGGTACCCTGTGGGGTCAGACTGGTTATGCACATACCTCATCCTCTAGTCTGTCTCTCAGAGGAGCAATAACAGATCCTATTTAGATACACTCCTTACTGTCAATTCCTCTTTTAGTCCCCCAGCTTCCAAAATTATTGTGAAAGGGATGTTGCAGAATATCAGATAGTTACCATTCAAAGATAGTTACCAAGATAACACAAGGGTGGGTTGGAAAGAACAAGGTTGGAGTTAAACTGCAAAAAGTTGCACACCTTTACACTGAAATAGCCAATTAGAACTGGCAATGTAATAGTAGAATTTCAAGAACCTCTTTGGTACATTCATGGAGCAGTAAATTCAAGATTGTGTTCTTTTTGTAAAGGCCTCCTGCACTTAAGTGGAAATAGATTTTCCTGTTGAGAAGATTCAGTTTTAGTTCATTTTTCCCTGCTTGACTTTTATTTGAACCGTGCAGGTTTTGTCTACTTAAGAAGATTCCACAGGAAATGGAAAACAGGTGACACAACACATTGCTAGAACTTGAAAGCTAACTGACAAAGGAAAAAGAAGAGTTTGGCCTTCTACAGCTTGCAGTGCACATGCTGACTAATGGTACGTGGAAGACGTGTGCTGATGGTGGGATATTTGTGATATTGTGCATGCCAATGTGGTTATATTGGAACCTGTGAATTAACTTGTGAAGTTACAAACTGATGAGGAAAACTGTGCCCCTTGGATTAACAGTGATAAATAGGTAAACAGACAAACCAGATAGACAAGTTTGTTAAGGCCTTTCCCTTCTGTATAACTGAATTTAAAAAGTTTTCCTGAAGAACTGTACAACTTAGGCACCTGAGTTAATTAGGGAACAGTAAGGCGTGGGGAATGAGCTCCCTGTGTGATGATGTTTAACTGCTGAGCAACGGATAAGAACATTGGTACCTTCTAATGTTACTATTTCAACAGTAAAAAGAGAGAATGTACACACTGAACATGAACTCAGTATCCAGAAACCCTAGAAACTTTTTTCATTGAAAATTTAGACCCAGAACGTTGTACGCAAAGAGCTGGGGCCTAGCCAAAGGATTAGGTCTATTAAGTATTCAAGAACTGTAGCTCAAAACCAGCATGAGCTGCAGCTGTGATCTCAAGTGCCAGTAACATTTGCAAGGACACATTATGTGCATGTATACATATATATACATAAAAATAAATCCTCATCACCTCTATCCATGTGGCTACTGCTGCTGTACTGCTGCTCAAGCTGGTTCTCTCTGAATGAAGACACACCTGCCTGAAGCTGACTCTTAGAAATGCTAAGGGCAGTTAGGCTTTGCTGTTAGGTTGGGGTCACAGCCCTCCGGCTAGGGGCTCACTGGTGTGCAGTGGGAGCACGCAGATCCTGCTTACTCATAAAGCAGCAGTAGGAGACGCTGCTTTCTAACCCTACTCCCTGACTAAGCTCTCCTTGCAGTGACTGAAGAGAGCCTCAATTATGCGCACTGTCATCATCTTCACGGCCTGGCACAAGGGAAATTTAAATCCTTTTTTTCCTCCCTTCAAAGAAAACTTCACGTGAACGTAAGACTGCAGTGTGTTACCCACTTCACGCAGGCTGCTGGGTTCAGGCCAGGTCTGTCCTTCCCACGGGACGGGTCTTTGGCTGCCGGGCTGCCGCTGCGGCCTACGGACCCGTCCTGCCAGCCGTTACGTGGTGCCCGCACGTACCGACGGCGTTCAGAGGGCTGGAGCTTCTTGCCTCTAAGGAGGAGTCACGCTCTGGAGCCGAACCGTTCACCGAGCGTGCCGGCCGGTGGCCAAGCTGCACCAGTGCCTTTCCGCTGCCTCAGCGCGTAGCCCGGGGTGCCAGCCCGGCTGCTCGAGGTGGGCGGCTCCTGCTTTTGGCGGGGACGGGTCCCCTCCCGCCTAAGCCTCGGGCACCCCCGGCGACACCGGGGTCCGGCTGGCCCCGCGCTGCCGCGAGGCGAAGCTCGACACTGCAGCGGGGGAATGCGGCTCCCGCACGCTGCGGCGCGGAGCCGCCCGGCTCTCCGTCGCTCCCTCAGAACGGCCGCGAATAACGGCGGCGGTGGCCCCGCCCGGGGACTGCATTGCCCAGAGGGCCCTGCGGCCCCGAGGCTGCGCGGGGGCGGATAGCGGGGCTCCGGGAATCTCAACCAACCCGGGGCTCAGCGCCGCCTCGTGTGTGCCCGCCTCTGCCGCCGTGACTGACCCGGCCGAGAGCCAATCGGCTGGCAGAATTCTCCGAGGCCACCCAATCGGCGCTCCGGAAGCATGGCGGCGGGCGGGTGCCGGAGCGCGGCGGACTCGGTGGCGCCGCGGCAGGGGAAGGGAGACCGCGGCGGCGGTAGCGGCGTGGCAGCGCTGGGAGCGGGACCGCCGCAGGGATGGCGGCGGCTCGCGGGTTAACGCCAGCGGGTTGGGCCGCGGGCCGCCCGTAACTCTCCCAGCGGCCCTCGGCGCCGCGCGCATCAGTTACCCCTCCCCGCGGGCGGGCCGGCTCCCGCCCGGCACCGCAGTCGCTATAGAGACCGCGCCGCACGCCACGGGGCGGAGGCTGGGCCGGGGGCCTCCTCTCTAGCCTCCCCCCGCCCCGCTGCCCGCAGGCCGTCGCCGCGGCGACGGGCGGCACCGTGCTCCGCAGGGACCCGCGGGGACGTGGCGCCCCGAGGAACCGCCGTCACCTCGGCTCCGTTCCAGGTGAGGAGACGCGGGGTGCCTCGCGCCCGCCCCGGGGCCGAGGGCCGCGCGGGGGTCGCGGCCCGGGTGGGTCTGGGGGTCAAGGAGAGGGCCCGGCGTTTCCTAGCCTCCCCCCGGGGCTGGGATTTACGGACGCTCCGTCCCTCCCTCTCGCTTGCCGCAAGGAGAACGGCGCCGTGGGGCGGGCTTGCGGCTCCGTGCAGCCGCACCGCCGGCCCAGCGTTGTGGCGGGCGGCAGGGCGCGGTGCGGTCCGGCCGGCCGGCAATCTGCCGCCCCGAGTCTCGCAGCCATTAGCGGGGGCATCGGTACGTGAACGCGGCTCCGCCTGGCTAGGCCGCGGTGTGCGCTCACTACGGATAGTAGTAAACATACGGGCTGCGTAGGGACGGCGTTTAGGAGAGCGTCGTTGCGTGCTCTTCTCCTGAAGGAAGGGAGAGGGGAATGCCTCGCTCCGAAGGCTGCTGGGATCCCCGGGCTTGTGGCCGCATCCCTGAGTACGGCGCTGGAGCGGAGGGGACAAAGATCGGAGCGGGGCCGGTAACCCGGTAATGTCAGCGCAGGATGGGGGAGGGGGTGGGCAAAGCAGAGCCCCGTGCTGCTTCTGAGCACGGCCTTTTGGGAAGCGCCGACGCTATTCATTATTAATACGGAAAGGACTGTGGAAAATGGGTTATGAAATAGATCGTAATAGCTGTCTTTGGCCGGGTGTGCAGAACCAGTTGAATTGGGTGAATTATTCAGAAATATTATGATATTTTGGATCACGTATTGATGGGAAGGTTGAAAACCCCTAGACTAAATGTACTCTCAGTTTGGAATTGTGTTGGCCTTAAAGCGTAGAATTAGTTTCCGTGCTGTTGTTCTGGAGGAACAAAACCACCGCCGACGAGAGTTCTTATATATTCTCCATAGTTAATGCCATGCCTCTGTGTATGTCAGATGGTTTCAGCTGCCGTATCTGAGCAAACAAAAGATGAAAGCTGCTTCACTGCTTGTTTAGTTTTGGAAATATTTGAGGTGCCTGTTAATGGTATGGTGCAAATGTATCTACCACTTCTTTTCTGTGTTAATGTCCCAGAATACTTTTGTGATGATCCCTCTGCTTTACAGCGTGAACTATGTTTACAAAGTATTAAAACTTTCTTAAGTTTATAAATGAGAAGTGTGCTCGTTGACGTTGATTTAGTCTGTAAGAAAATCTGACTGCCGTAATGCATTTCCTTATCTGTGAAAAGTTGTTTTGAAAATGAAGATACTGCAGTTATAAAAATGCAAAGATGGATTTGCTTCTGGCAAATACTTTGTTCATCTTTGATGTACCATTGTGCTCTTGAAATCCACCATCCTTTTAGATATGTTACTTTGGAAGTGTGAGGGGTTAAAATGAGAAGAGCCGTGTGTGAGGACGGAGCATCAAGATGCTGGTCGGGCTTGGTGTGGTTGTGGCACTACTTCTGCATGCGGCAGTTTCTCTTGTCTCTGACATCACAAATTCCAGAGAGGTTTTTCTAGAGTAACTGATTAAATCAAGAAAGATTTTAGAGTGTAATTAAAAGAGAAGGATGTGTGATGTTTCCCCAGCTAGAAACTGATTTCTAACTGACAAGCTTCTGCTGATTCTCTGTGTATGGATACCTAAGGTTAAACACTTGCTTAGCATGTGAATTTGTGCTATATAGTGTGTTAATATACTCCTGTGTTTTCTGTTTCAGCTGAGACTCGTTTATCTAGTGGGAATGAATTGATGCTCAGTAACATCAAATAACAAAAAGGAGATGTGCAGTTTCTGTGTTTCTCAGTGTTTCCTGTTGTGCCACTCCTGCTCTGTTAAACCCTGACACAAAGCCTTTGTGTTTGGCTGAAGGGGAGGAGAAACAGCTACCTCCTCTGCATAAGACACTGACTGGGGTCCTTCCCAGTCTCTCAGGGATGCATTAAATGCCATCCAGCCACTGTCCTTCCTCCCTCTGCCTACCTCGTAATGCACTCTGCTCTTGGCAGAGAAACCTGAGCTTTGTTGCATTGATCTCACAGATCAGTGTGTTGTGCCATGCATCTAGGAGAAAGGTCTGACAGGCTAATTGCTCAGGTAGAGATGTGCATAAGTTTAAGCATGCAAAATTGACTAAATGTGAACTGGACATTAAGGGATCCAATAGGTTGTGTTTTGTTTAAAAATGACTTACTGTCAGCTTGGTTTCTTGTCAGTGATGGGGATAAAAGAAGCTTTTTCAAATGCATGATCTGTTACATTTTTCTTTAACAAGCTAGTGTTTAGGCTGCCTGACTGGGAATTAGTACAGTAATACATAACGCAAAATTGTTTTGGGCAGTTGTGAGAATACAGGTAAGTGGGGCAGTTTAACTTTCTGCTTTTTCGTGCCAACAGAGTGCTATGATGGCTGTGCTGTGTTCCAAGTCAAGTAGTGGTGGAATAGAAGTGGATTTCCCTGCCTTTGTTGGAAACACCAAATATTGTGTAACACTGCTGTTAGCAGCCGTACCCATCACGGTTGCTTCTTTGAAAATATTCATCCAATCTTTTACTTATCATTATTATTACAACTTTAGTGTATTATTGGTATCTTCCTTTTTTTTTTTTTTTTTTTTTTTTTTTATACCTACAGTGATAACTGTTATTTCCTATATTATTGTTACACATCACTTATTTAGAAGCATAGTTAGTAGAAAATAAGAAGAATGTAATGTGACCTTGTGACTCTTTCTCTTGATTTGGTTGAATATTTTCCTCAGTTTTGAGAAGTCCTGCAAGCCATGTCTTGAATAACTTACTCTTCAAGTCTGTTTCTCAGTAACGGAGAGAAATCTTTGAGAACTTGAAGGAGCTTTTTGGGGAGAAGGAAAGGATTGAATTTGGGAGGAGAGAGGGAAAAGAGGGCGGACTGTGAGACTTAAGATGTCTGTAGCATTTTTATAAATCTGTTGTGAAGACTTCAAAAATCGGTTCACTGCTATGTTCAGGCATATTTTCTTTTTCCTGTGAATCTTGTACTTTGTGGTTGATTCTGTGATGAAAAGCGTTGTCAAATGCTTTTCAAAATGCTATTTTATGCTGTTGCTTTGTCTCCAAAGAGAGTAATCAATTATTGAGAATTAAGTTGTTTGCACTGATGAGGAATTCCATATGATAATTCTTCCTTTCAGAGAAATGTGTGTGTGTGTGCATATGTTGCTTTGCCTTGAGTCTGGTTGCAGCTGGAGGTGAGGAGGGCTGCCTGCTCTTCTGTGGGTGAAGCTGATGAGCTCGCCCATGCTATCAGGGATGAAAGTCAGATCTTGCAGTGCACAGCCATCTGATGTATAAAGAAAGAGTAAAGTATGCTGAACTTGCTTTGAGAGCTTTTAAAAGATGTGAAATTGTTTTAATGTGAAGCCCATTTCTTATTCCTGAATGTTGCAAAGGGATTCGTTAGGTGATGCAGAGATGAGTTAGTATGTGGAGCTAAAAGGAGGAGAAATTGAAGTGATCAAGGTGGACATCATCCTGACTTGCCTACATGTAAATAATATTATTAAGTTTTTGATGCACTGCTCTCAGCTGGAGTTGCCAAGTACTGTTCCTGTGTTAATAGGCTGATTTCAGTGCATTTGTCTACAGTTAGAGAAGATTGCCTCGTGTAGTTGGTGTGTTCTGAGTACTTGGGAGCTGTCTCTAGTCAGCAGCTATTAACTGGGCACTCCGTTACATCCCAAAGAATTTTCAGGCATTTGTTGCTTTTTTTCATGCTGCCTCTCAGTATGTTCAGATTTTGCAACTTTTCTAGCAAGCTATTTGATACAATGTTCTGCAGAGGAGTAGTAGAATTGGGTTGCTTTCTGTACCAGCAGATTGTGTTTTGTTGCAGCTGTTAAGTTTAGTGCTCTGGGAACGTTACTCTTGTCCAGCAGTATGGCTTCTGAGCAAATTGAGCACATCTGTTTAGCTTTTATGTTGACAATTTGAAAAAAGAAATTAAAAAAAAAAAAATGAGGTGAGGAGGTGATCTGTAGATCTGTAAGTAAAGAGTGCTTCTCTTCAGCATACAATGTTCTTAGAAGATTGGTGTCATTATTTTGTTGTAAACAGCGTTATGTCCAGTTATTTACAATCTAAAAATGGCTTGTTACTTTCCTGTCTTTCCATTTGTCAGCATCCTGCACTACGTAGATTCAGAACGTGCGTTATCTGATGAGTGAAGCTGTATTAA